CAAAGCACCAAGTTCCACGAAACCACCAAGTTACAAGAGAGAAGATTGAAGACAACACGAGAGCGCTTCGGTGGTGGAGGATTTGCCGACGCACGCGGCTTCGGGGCCGGTGCTTCAGGTGCCTCCTCGGCCTCTAGGGCGTATGTTGGTGCTCGCCGCCAAGGGGCGGTTGCTCGAGGTTTGGCCGCTGGGCGAGGTGGACTTTCTTCGTCGTCCACGTCCATGGCGTGTACCTCAGTGTTTGGGTGCACCAATAGCTCTGGATGTGGCACCCGCCGGGTTCCCTCGTTGGGCGGGTTCGCCATACGTGGTCAGGCAAGTCGTAGACAGAGTCACGAGCTGTGTCCATCGGAATGGGCTGCGCCGGCGGCTCGCGGGCAGCGTGTTGGAGTCTGACGAATCCGCGCTGACGCGGTTGCGGTGCCTCCCTCGGCTGATTAGGCTCCGGACGCGGAGCGTCGGCTGCAGGAGGCTGCGCGGACACGGGTAGACTCCGATTGCTTGCCTTCGGTGGAGGTGGCCTTCGAACCTTCACGTGAGGTGGTAAGGTCTGTGGCCTATGAGGAATATTCGGATACTCGGGGTCTAACGGTGGTGGATCAGGGGGAGTTGCACGTCCTAGTCGACCGGACCTTACGGCTCGGGTTATCGTGTTAGCGGCACGGGTGCGAACTGCCTCGAGATCTTCACCTTCGACTTCGACCACGGGATCTGGCTCGAAAGCTTCCTCTTCCTCCCGCGCAAGCGCGGTTCCGCCTCGTCCGTCCTGTCGGACTGTGCCCTCCTCCTCCGCTCCTTCTGGGTATCCTGGATCTATTTCAGCCTCTGGAGCGGGTGCTCCCTCCTCGGTTCCAACACCATCCATAGGATCATCTGCCTGTTCGGTGTCGTCGGCAAGATGGACCGTGCGGGTCGGCTGCTCCGTGTCCGCGAGAAGCTCAGCGGTTTCACGATTAGGCCTGGGGCACGGCCTGGTTGGTCGAGGAGGTCGAACTGGCACTGAGGTCCGGGTCTGAGACCTAGATCTTGGAGTTCCTTGGGGAGTTTGGGATCGGGGTTGCACAGGGTGGTCGACAGGTCTCAACTGCGGTCTCCAACCTCCTGACTGACTGGCAGCGCTTGCGCCCACTACGGGCTGAAAGGTGCGCGCCGGGACGGTCACGGGGAAGGTTTGCTGGGCAGCCGGAGCTGCCTGCGATGAGGTCGCCGTCGAGGAGTGGACCTGGCGGAGCGGGATGAATTTGTATGTCTTTTGGTAATACCCAGGCGGAAAACGGTATGTAGGTTGCTTCACACCGTTTGAGATGTCCGGCATGTGACGAGTACACCATGACCAGAATTCTGGTATGATGGCCGCCCAGGCTTTGAGTGCCCCGTCGGAAATGTCTCCGTCTTCAGGGGACTCGGCCCATGCATCAGCATGGAACACCACATACTTATACCATTCGGAGTAGTCTCTCCGCGCAATCAGCGGTTTCACGAATGGTAGATGATATGTTTTACGAACCCGACGGTAGGTATGCGACGCCAGGTGACTTGCAACAAGATCACATGTGAGAGCGTACTTCTTGTCGGACTGTTCGAACTGGTGTTTTTGGCCTCCCCTCGCGCCGCGCGTACGCTTCGGCTGAGGATCCACGGCTGCGGAAGTTGTTTGTGATGTCTCCGCGCCAGGCGCGGTTTCGTCGTCAGCCTCTTCCCCTTCCTGCTGCTCTTCTTTGGGAGCGGGCTCCGCCTGATCATCAGGGTCGTCGCCTGGCTCTTCGTCTCCAAAGTCAACCTCAGTCTCGTCAAAGACCGGATCGGTGGCCAATGATTCGAACTGCGTTGGATGATTATGAGTATGCAGTGGAGGTAGGCCTACAGGGGAGGTTGAGGGATCGGCATAAACTTCTTCCTCTACTTCCTCCTTGGCTGTGGGCTCTATCTTAGGTGGGCCGAACAACGAAAAGACATCGAAGGACGGCTCGTCGGCGTTAGCTGGGCCTATCGTGCCGTCTTGAGCTGGCGAGACCTCTCCGCGCGAAGCAGCGGTTCCGGTCTGGAGCTCTGCTTCGACAAGAGGGGCTTCGTCGTCAAGAGAACCAAGTGTGCTGGTCTCTGGAGGCAACTCGATGGTGGTCGGCTCTGCGACAGGCTCTTCTCGTTGAGGGTTATCGACCTCCTCCGCCTCGGCGGTTTCTGAACCCTGAGGCGTGAATGTCGGTTGGGAGGACGAAATGCCTGAAGCGACACGGGGAGTAAGGGGTGGTTGCACGGCCTCCCCAAACTCTTGGTCCGTGGTCTCCGCGCTAGGCGCGGTTCCGACCACACCCTCAGGGGAAGCGGATGCTTCTTGATCCTGAGGGTCCCCAGCAGGCGCCGTGGCTGGTGCTGCAGCCGATGAAGAGGCAGCGGCGCCGGTTGCTTGCGGCTGGGGGTTGACCCGACCCATTGGTGTCCTATGCAGGTGCGAAAAGCGTGCTGCAACGGACCACTGGATGGGGTCGAGTGATGATGCCTGTAGCTCACGGCTACGGCTGATAACCAATTGAGTGTACAAACCAGGTGGGGCGTAGGGAAACGCCCAAGCAATTCTTTCAACCGGGAGGTGGTAAAAGAAGTAGGCTAGATCCCTGGATGCACGATCTATATTAATGGGTGTACGAGGAGCGTCGGAAGGACGGGACCCCGTGATGGCAAGTGGAACCGAACGAACGACGTACGGCGACGAGCGAACGAACGGTAGGCACGAAAGGATGCAAAGCGAAAGCGAAAGGGAAGTCGGCCACCGGCCAACGAACCCGGCACCCTGAAGGAAAACTGCGCGGGCGCACAATTTTCCTTGAGCCATGAGCCACGGTCGGCACATGTATTGTACATGTGGTGTGTGAACCGTAGCTACTAGTAGACATGTAGTGAATGCTGTTACATACTAGGGGTTCACAGAAAATGACTCTATTACATACTATTACTAGTTTAACTCTGGGCCAGCAAGTGATTGGAACTCCTTCGATCCAAGCGTTCGGAGTTGCAGCCCAGTTCTAACAGGACTGAGCTCTGCGCTGGATAGCTTCTGCCTTAACCAAACGCCTGAGCCAAAAACATATGGGATCCAATTTTTGTGTGCATACATGAGGGTCACCATAGACCTTGTCCAATTCAACCTGCCTTCGAACATACAGGTAGCAGTTGCAGGAGTAACAGCAGGATCCCCTTCTTCATCCTTCAAGTGTTTCTGAGAATGAGAGGCAGTCGCAATATGATTTGTAAAAATCCCAGCTCTTTTGGGGTGCTGTCATCCTCCTGCCAAAGGACCTCACCTGAGGAGCACATGTCATGTTGTTTGCCTGGCTCAGTTCACATTTTTGCCTTCCGCGGCAGGACCAGCGTCCACAACTCACTCTGGTGACTCTAGTGTAGGGCATACGCGACGCAAGGCCCTTCTTCCTTGCAGAAAAACCGCGAAAAGGCTTAAGATGATGTGGAGGACACAAGAGAGGACCTTGAAGGCTGATGAGGGAACTCATCAGCCTCTGCCGCGCTGACATGTCCCAAGAACACACAAAGAGGCTTCCCGCAACTCATCCTGAAGGGCACCTTAGGCAACGGCATCAGCTTCTCATAGAGTTCATCGGTGGCAAACATGAAGGAGAGAATGCGGGTCAAATAGGCGTGGCATGGTTCAATATGTCCTGGCTTAAGCAGGCTGAGGATTGCGTGCCCATTGTCGCACACCGGCCCATACCAATGAACACATGAGTCCTCGTCTCCAAGAATCAAGTCGTCATTTCTGTCAGTCAACCTGGCCAGTTGTCCCAAGACCTCTTCGCACTTCTCCACTGATTCAAAGTAGCTGCGGGCACGTGGATGCACGAAGACCATCCAAGACTTGATCTTCTCTTGGACTTCCTGTTCACTTCGCTTTTGCAACGGTGGTGGAGGCGGCAGGTCTGCCTTCGAGACCTGTTCTGGCGCAGTGTCCTTCGTTGGGACGCGCTCTTGTCTGCGCTGAAGACAATACCAGCAGCTGAAGCAGCCATCCATCGAGGGGAGCACAGATGGAAGGTTTAAAACCACGGGCTATCTCAGCCAGAACGGCTACAACTTCCTTTATTTATTACTGTTGAGCAAAAACAGACTAGTATATGTTTGCAAATTTGATACTAAGAACATGGGGGGTCCACATATGCAGTATAATAGCATATATGATATGCATATATAAGGCATAAACGCTAAAGCCCAGGCCCGGAAAAGACCGCAAGTTGCCAATTCTCAGGGAGAGGAGTTGTGAAGACGTTGTCCTGCAAAAAGCCATGCATTGCATCTTTTCTGTGACGCTTTGCTCTGGTGAGATTTCTCTTGCGAGACATTCCTCTTGTGATCTTCTTCTTGCGAGAGCTTCCTGGCTGAAACTTCCTCGTGAGACAGATTTTCCGACCTTGCTTGAGACCTCTTCTTGTAACATCCTACTGGCGACCTTTTGTTGTGAGACCCTGTACTTGTGAGACCTTGCGTCTAGAGTCTAAGTTCCTGCACCGCGGGTTTGCTTTACAAAGTCTGTGGCCTGTTTATGGCAGCATCTTTAACAGGTACAGTTGCCAAACCAAATCAAAGCGCCACAAAGGGAACGAGGTGCCAGCTTGGGGCAAGGAAATTGCAAATCCAAGAAGGGGCTGTAAAAAGATTGAACATTGCAGGAACCCCGCGAAAACACACGCTTTTCTCATATTGGGGACCTTTCTTGTCCTGGTCTTGGGGACCTTCCTCTCAACACATCACTTTTGAAGCCGGCCTTGTGACACCTTCTTTGGTGAGAGGATTCTTGGGACCTTTCTTGCGAGACGCCATCCACAAGGGCGATTCTTTCATGTTTGGGACAGGCGAGATCTTCTTGTGAGCTTCCTTTTGGGCCTTCCGGGTGGCAGCTTCCTGGTGTGACCTTTTCTCTTGACCCTTCGTATTGAGACCTTCATCCAGCGATCTTTTCTTGCAAAACCTGTCTTGCGATACTCTCCTAGCACGGCAAACCTTCCAGGAAGCATCGGCCCATTGTTGCAGCAATGGAGAACCTTACAACGTCAATTTTAGCGTCAATGTGTGCGGCAAAGGATTGATAGCAGTGCCAACAAGTGTGCTTGCAAAATGAATTTCAAGTGTTGAACATACGCGGGCATTGGCCCCTAAGCATTTTACATTAATGCTTGAAAACTCAACAATCAGTCCGTCAAGGAAACCGGTCCCCAAGATGTTCGTCAAATATGACAATAGTACTCATGCTTGTTGAGGCAACCTTTTTCGTGAGTTCCCGATTTCGTTGGGTGAGCTGGGTAGTTTCACCTGATGCAGCAAGCCCCCCACTGGGGCCCACTGCTCGTCACAGAAATTCCCCCCTAATTCGGCTCTACTTGGGCAAATCAAAGTTCAGGGCACAACGAACACAGGAGGTTCTAACCTCCGTCATGTTGTTTGCGCCGGTGCTTCTGCCATCCATACGCCTACTGGCTCACTTCCACAACTCTTGACTCTTGTGCATGCGCAAACTTTATTTCGCATGTTCTTCTTTGCAACAAAAAAACTGTCAAAAGGTTCAAGACGATGTGGAGGACGCAGCAGAGGAGCTTGGAGACTGAGGAGCATTCTCAGGGAATCCATCAGCCTCTGCCGCGGTGATATGTCCCAAGAACACGCAAAGAGGCTTCCCGCAACTCATCTTCAAAGGTACCTTACGGCGAGGGACCTTGGGCAGCGCCTGAATACAGGAGTAGAGTTCGTCATGTGCGAAGATGAAGGTGAGAATGCGGTTCAAGTAGGTCTTCCTTGCTTCGCTCTCTCCTGGCGGCCTCACAAGTAAAACTGCCTGCCCATCTTCACTTGGCCCATACCACTGAACACACTTGTCAGGTCCTTGGATACAATCATCAGCTCGGTCAGTGAACTTAGCAACTTGCACCAAAATCTCTTCCCACTGGTACGGAAATGTGAAGAATTCCGGAGCACGGGGGTGCACCAAATTCATCCAAGAGGTGACCTTCTCTTTGATTTCCTGTTCACTTCGGTTTTGGATAGGTGGTGGTGGGTTTGCCGCCGTCAAGACCTGTTCTGGCGCAGTTTCCCCGGTTGGGGCGCGCTGCTGCCCGTGCTGAAGGCAATACCAGCAACTGAAACAGCCATCCATCGAGGGAAGCACAGATCGAAGGTTAAACAAACCACAGGCTACTGTATCTCAGCCAGAACGGCTACAACTTCCAGTCTGGGAGGGCTATCAGCGCAACCATCTCATCTCGAAATAGCCCACGTTATCGGCATCGGCGGTAACAAGTGACCGTCTACCACCCTCAGCGGGTAGAGATCAGCAAGAATCGAAGTCGCATCCTCCGTCTAAGCCGTTGGCAAAAGGTGAATGCAAAGGTTGTAGACCTGGCAGCTTCTTACATGGACGCAAATGGCTCCAAGTTCATTGTTGTTAGTACACTTTCAGGCCAGGGCACAGACAATACACCCAAATCTGCACTGGAGTGGATTCTCGCACCGAAAGCTACATCGAGGCTTCAATTCTCATGCCTGCCTTTCCCAACCGGAGAAAGATAGCTGATTGCTTCCTGGTGCCCTACAATCAAATCCTGGGAGACTAGATTCTCATCCTTTCTGCCCACTTGACGACTCCGAGCATCCTCATTCTCCAAGCTCAACGAACCTGAACACTTGCAAAACCCTGCATCAAGGCTGAAGGGCTTAAGGGGCCTTTAGGCAACAGAAGTCTCGGACAGGGCCCTTCACTTCTTCATTCTTTGTTGAACTCACCACGACACGACCTGTACAACATGGATCCCAACCGTCTGGAACTGGGTTACGGCTGGCCCGACACCCGACGCCTCGCCACGCTTCTGCGGGAGGGAATCCCGGAAGCCTCGTCTTCCGCTCTGAGCGAATGGGACGGATCAGTACGGATTGATCGGACACCAGGTAAAGTACGGTAGCTTACGGTAGCTTATGGTAGCTTCTAATGGTCAGGGATGGAGATGTAAGCGTTGTAAATCGTATGAAAGGACGGTGGTTGCAGCGCATGTGTTTGCTGGTTCTTCTTAATGACTCGGTCTCATCAAGCTGAGAGATGTTTCGGACCTTGGAGCCTCCAGGAGCATTTATTCGAGGTGTTGGCCTTCACAATCTGACATGAATGAGATGAAGGTCTTGAAGAGAGGCGAACCACTAGATGACAAGTGCAAGAAATACCAGTACTGATATAACATGATAAAACATTATACTCAAGCATTGTCCTCTGCAATGCACAACCAAACCAGAGCCCCTCCCCGGCCTTATCCAACATTCTTTGAACCAGTCGTTTCGAACCAGTCGTTCCGGGTGCCGGGTGCATTCTTCGGCGTTCCGAAGGCTGTGTCCAAAACGCCGCTCCAAAACGTGGCGAGAGTCCAGACTCAAATCATCGTGTGTGGGGTGCCCTGGATCTTCTTAAAGACACACCGCGGCATCGGCCAAATTCGGCAAAAGCTTATTGGCCAAATGCATAGGTGTGAGGAGAAGGGGCGGAGCATGGCGGAGCATTCACACGACTGGCCAGCTGTGTTCCCCGAACTGGCAAGCGCTTCAGCGATGGCATCTGAAATCTCAGGTGGCAGCCTGGACAGGTCAATGGTAGTGACCAGAATGTGACAATAGCATCGTCACAGTCGTCGCACTTACCACTTACCCATAAGTTTACCACATGTGGGGAAGAATTACAAACACCCTGGTTGTATCCGGAAGAGAGTGAATACAAGAGTTAATTAGAATTAACTCCGGTGTTAATTCTTCATCTTCAACCCCTATTCAACCCTGCACTCGATGGGGAATTAACTCAAGAGTTAAATTCCCTCAGCAACGTTGTGCACAAAGACACACCAAGAATGAATTAACACTGGAGTTAACTCGTTTCCTTGGGTTGGGTTTCTTGTTTCCTTTTCCTTGTTTCTCTATGGATGTTTCCTTTAGCAAGGGAGAAGAGAGGCAGAAGGCAGGGAAGCACCAGCAAAGAAATAACTCTGGAGTTAATTCTTTTCCTTGGTCCCCTGGTTCCTCTTCTCCTGGTGAATGAAACTCTTTTCCATAGTAAGTCTTATGGATGTTTCCTTTAGCAAAGGAGAAGAGAGGCAGGAGGCAGGGAAACACCAGCAAAGAATTAACTCTGGAGTTAATTCTTTTCCTTGGTCCCCTGGTTCCTCCTCTCCTGGTGAATGAAACTCTTTTCCATAGTAGGTCTTATGGATGTTTCCTTTAGCAAAGGAGAAGAGAGGCAGGAGGCAGGGAAACCAGCAAAGAATTAACTCTGGAGTTAATTCTTTGCCTTGGTCCCCTGGTTCCTCTTCTCCTGGTGAATGAAACTCTTTTCCATAGTGGGTCTTATGGATGTTTCCTTTAGCAAGGGAGAAGAGAGGCAGGAGGCAGGGAAGCACCAGCAAAGAAATAACTCTGTAGTTAATTCTTTTCCTTGATCCCCTGGTTCCTCTTCTCCTGGTGAATGAAACTCTTTTCCATAGTAGGTCTTATGGATGTGTCCTTTAGCAAAGGAGAAGAGAGGCAGGAGGCAGGGAAGCACCAGCAAAGAATTAACTCTGGAGTTAATTCTTTTTCCTTGGTCCCCTGGTTCCTCTTCTCCTGGTGAACGAAACTCTTTTCCATAGTGGGTCTTATGGATGTTTCCTTTAGCAAAGGAGAAGAGAGGCAGGAGGCAGGGAAGCACCAGCAAAGAAATAACTCTGGAGTTAATTCTTTTCCTTGGCCCCCCTGGTTCCTCTTCTCCTGGTGAATGAAGAGGCAGGAGGCAGGGAAGCACCAGCAAAGAATTAACTCTGGAGTTAATTCTTTTCATTGATCCCCTGGTTCCTCTTTTGCTGGTGAATGAAACTCTTTTCCATAGTAGGTCTTATGGACGTTTCCTTTAGCAAAGGAGAAAAGAGGCAGGAGGCAGGGGAGCACCAGCAAAGAGTTAACTCTGGATTTAATTCTTTTCCTTGGTCTCCTTGCTCCTCTTCTCCAGGTGAATGAAACTCTTTTCCATAGTGGGTCTTAGCAAAGGAGAAGAGAGGCAGGAGTTAGGGAAGTCCCCATGGTAGGTGCTGTCTTCCCGGTTTCCGGGCAGATACTACCAATGCCATGCTTTTTCAAGCCAAAACTGCCATCCAAATACGTGCGAAAAAGAGTTAACTCTGGATTTAATTTTTTTCGAGGAGCCCTGAAAAGGAATTAACTATGGATTTAATTCTTTTAGATAGACAGAAATCGACTGATATATGTGGAGCCAGCAGGACCCTGTGGGAAAAGAATTAAATCCAGAGTTAATTCTTTTACATGGCAGCATTCAAGGAGGAATTAACTCCCAAGTCAATGCTTCTGATGGAACCCTTGATGAGTAGCAAATCCTGAAGAATTAACTCCAGAGTTAAAACTAAAGAACTCTTGTATCTACTCTTTTTCGGTTGTATCCTAGTGGCTTTGATATGGCTTTGTAGTCTTCCCACTTACCTCATAAGGCCTTTTGTGACCACTGCGGTTTCCACAGACTGAGGCCCCCCAAAGCAGGAGGCAGCTGAGGCCATGACCCACCAGACTTCTGTCGGAGCTTGTGAATGGCCCTGAAGCTGTTGGTTCCCGTGGTCCACGGGGATCTAAGGGGGTGTGGTCCGGTCATGGTGGACCTGTCGGTTTTGATAGAACGATGGACAGGACACACATTTTTGGATTCCAAAACTCCAATGGGGGGGTCCATGGTCATTGGGATTCACATGGCTCTTCATCATCTACGACCCTGGTCGCTTCGCCGAGTTCTTTTCGCCAAAAAAGCGGCCCGGCTCCATAGGATGGCCATATTGGCTCCATCCCGACTGAGATCTCCGGCTTGAGGGTATGAAGGCATTCTTTTCTGAGCTTCTGCTGGCTTGCAGCTTTGTCCTGGCTGCGTGTCGAGAGAAAGAGCCCTCCTTCGGCCCTTCGCTTCGAACGTGCTGCCCGAGACCGCCGCACCATGGCCGTGGGGCCTCCTGTGAACCACAGCCAAATCAGCGTAAAGTCTGAGTCACGACGTGATTGTCCGCCTTTGATGGCTCAATAGGTGTTTGTGTTTTTCAATATAGCTTGAAGGGCCGACTTGGCAATCAAATATGGGATCCGCACGGGCAATGTCTCGTCAACTTCCCGAAGCTGACGAAGACCCGTAGGAGGAAACGCTTCTCGGCTTGTGCTTGTACGGTCAGGTCAAGTCAGAGTTTTGACACGTGGGACAAAAGCCGGTAGCGAAACCAGAAAAACATTGATCGGTGCTCAGGAATCAATGGAAAGTACCTGAAGTGGACTCATCCAACGTCTGAAGAAACCTGGATCGTCGACAAGGCACTGGCGGCCATGCTCATTAACCTTAGCAGTAGCATGCACCTCTTCCGGGCACGTCCCGGCCACCCACACAAACCCACGGTAGAAGGGGCAGTGCAACCGAAAGCTTTCACCTTTGGGGGGAGTGAACCCTGAAACAACTTATAGACGGCACCGCTGGCCACACGCCTCTGACGCCTCCAGAGAGATCATCAACTCCGCGCACAGCTTGGCACAACCTCAGACACAAACCAAGGAGTCAAGGGAGATTGACAGTGCAAAAGAGTTACAGTACAACATAAGTCCTTTGGATTCCTTTGGCCGGCGGTAGACAGGTCCAGCAATGACAATGGAAGCAAGAAAGGCATGCAAACAGCAAACACTGCAATTAACAGTCAGTGCGACCGACGTACGATGGGTTGGGACCGGGGACCGCCAAAAGGACGACTCTTGACTGCATGATTCGGACAAACAAGTCAAACAACTGCAGCGATGTTGTTCAGCAAGAAGTCCTTTGCCTTCCCGGCTTCGGTTTGTTCAGCAATAAATTCTTCTGAAACACTTCTTCTATTCATTGGCATTTCCTCCTTTCACTGAGTTGAAGCTGGCCCCTTGATCAGTGTCTCTTTATCCAACTGCTAGCTCTTGTCTTGATGTTCTCTACATTTCCCCCTCTTTAGCTCTCAGCACTCTTCATCTCAAATCATCTGGCCCACAGTCACTTTCAAGCTGCTCGCCCCCGCAAAAAACAGAAGCCGAACCAAACAAGTCGCAAAGCCGTGCCATGCAACAAAGGAACAAACTGAACAAGATCCAGCAAAGCTAATGAGGCAAGAGAGAGGCCAACCTTCTGCAAGCAAACGGGCCGTCTCTTCTCACCGATTTCGCTGTGGTACTATTGGATTGACACTATCATAGATCATGTGCCTCAGTGTCCCGCCATCTGCGAAAACCGTTTGCGTGGCAACGTCCTCCTGCAGCTCGTAACAATCTCTCCAAATATTGATGACAACGGTGTGAAGATATGCGGAGCACCGGGCCTTGGAGGTCGTCTCTGGCGGAAGTGGCCTGCCACGTGACACTAAGTGGTGACGACACACCACACAGCCCGAAGCTAGTGCTAGTAATTACTCAAACTGGAGACCCCTCAAGGACGGCAATTGATCAAAAGCACCACTAAGCACCACATGCTTTGTAGATCCATCACATGTTGGATGAGATTCGATGCATGTCTATGCTTGTCCCACATCATTCACTGATCATCGCTGATCAACATCTGCGGAGTGCCCCCGGCCGCAACAAGTGCGTGTGGATGAAAATCAACTGGCTCCGCCGTGCGAAAGCCTGCGAAAGCCGTCGAAAGAGCTCAACGTGCCCGGAAGTCGTGGCTGTCGGGTTTCTTGGTCCGGGAAGTGGTCCGTCATTAGTGCCAATGATAACGGTAACTATGATATTCATGGCACGATATATATATATATATATCAGGATACATTTGATATATAATGTATATAATCTATATATTATAGTATAATATAGGTTGATTATATATGTTTAATGGTTCAGCATGGTTCAACTAATGGTAGGTAGTCGTGTTTAAACGCTACTCCCCATGGTTCAATGCTAGTACGTGCACCTGTCTCAACACCTTTGGCATACTGAGAGGAGATTGAGGATTGACACAAAAGAAATCAAGAGAAACTACCCAGAAATGTCCAAGGAACCAGCGGCTTTGAACAATGTCGCGCTTCAGTTTTCCACAATGATCACACACGTGTTTAAATTAACCTTTGGGGCAAATGTTGCCCCTCTCCTCGACCACCACCACCACCACCACCAGTTGAGGCTCGTCAGCCACACCCACAAGAGCTTCATAGCAAAGCAAGAGTCGGAGCGTTTGTTCAAATGCAACTTGAAAGCTTGCTGTAGCTAATTACTTGTTCTGCCTCCCCTTCGCCATTGTACCGTGTAGGGTTGGCAGCTCAAAAGCATAGCAGGCCTTCCTCGCACCTTTGATGGCTTTGCTCCTGGAGATCCAATTGCAGTGAACAAATGAACAAATGCAAACAAGATCAAACGAGAATAAACAAGAAGACTGCTACAAGGCCACATGCGTAAAAACATGCATGTCCACACGAAGTCCACACATGTGAAGCAAAATGAACACCAACAAAGGTGCAAGGGTGGCGCTTGTGCCATGAAGAGATATTATGTTATGAGATTGAATGCAGAGCACTGTCGCCTTCTCAAAGACGGGCCGCATTCAAAAGCCAAATCGACAACCCAACATGACGTGTATAAGGGCCTAGGCACAGCCCCCTCCAGGCGGTGGTCAACCAACGAGTCTTCTGAACCAACGACGCCCACCGACCCCGAGCACCAGGGCAAGTTCAGCAGCATTTGTGGTGCTCGCGCCTCGGAGGTCCACCAGTCGGCAGCGAACCAACCCAGTCAGCAGACCTGCTGGCGGCCTGTTTCTTGATGCCTGCTCACGACCAAACCAGAAGAATAAAGGAGATGGTGAGATGGTCTCTACATGTTCATTCCAGCCCGGCTGTTGTTCTTGTCTTGAGTTTTGACCCACGACCTGTACAAAAGCAAATCAACTGTAACAAAGGGTTCCGATGCGATTCCACCCCTTGCGCCTGCTGATGGTTCACTGACTCTGGACCTGGCTAAGTGCATCCAAGCGTCAACAAAGGCTTTCAGCGCAGCTTGACACCAATGGTCGAACTCCTTCGGCTCGGACCCCCGACGTGCGCCGACCCCGTCCGCGCCGCGGCGGTCGTTCGGACGACCGGAGGCTGGTCGTCTTGGCCTCACCTGTGGGGGACCAAGAGCCTAGTTGGACATGGCCAGAATGCTCTTTGGGTGTTACTTCGGCTTGTGTGGTGTTACTTCGGTGTAACCCTCGTTACAGGTCATGATTATGAGGCTACCTGGCAAAGGCGCACCTGAATCATCATTGATGTAATCTGCTGAGAGGGGGTCATCATCATCCCACACTCCTAAGGGGAGGAGGTGTCTTTGCTGTGGAGTGCCCTGAGCTCATTCAGATCAGCAGGTGTGATGAAACGGGAGTCTTCAAAACGTATTCACAACCGGATTTGTGTAAATTCAGGCTGCACCCAGTTCGCACACATTTGCCGTACAATCAGATGACCAATGAAAAAGGTACTGTCGACATCCTTAGGCTACATTCATACCTTCCTCATCCTTCCTGATCCTCTTCCTCCAGTTCCCCACCTCAACCCCCGAGCCGCGGAGTCCTTCTTGCCACCCCACTCTTGTAGCAGCTTCGCTAACAGCTTCTCAGCCAATGTCCAGCCTACCGGGGCCAAATGAATGAAGCTTCAGACAGAAGTAAGGCCAGGAGCCCCTAGTAGCAACTGAGAGGGCCAGGGAGACATAGATAGAAATCTACTGGTGTGGTGCCTCTAGTGGTGTGGTGAGATATAGTGAGATGCTGCATCGTTGGGCTCTCTCATTGTGATGGATCAGGTCTGCGCATGTCATGGGAGTGCTTCCTTCGGTGTAGGACCGTCACCAAGTCGCGCATCGCGTCTCAATGCCTTGACCCGGCTTTAGCTCAGATCCCTCCTATCAGCGTCTTCGGAGGCATTAAGGCCAAGTGCCAGGAACTCTCTCCCAAATGCTTGGAACCCAAAACTCAAAAGTAGAACATCCAGTCCATCATCACCCAAAGAGATCTTCCCAAAAAGTTCCCTCCCCGAGGGAAAACTAGCTCTTTTGCTGTAGATTTGTACTTTCTCAGTCATTGATTTATGTTATCTTGTGAGTCTCAATGCCATGGAGGGGCCGGCCGTCCTCTTCTTGGCTTGCAAGGCGATGGCACGCGCAAAGGAAATACAAGTGGGTGCCAAAGACCTCATTTCCACACCAGCACCAAGCAATTGTGGATCTACTAGCGCAGGTCCAAGATGATGCAAACCATCATGTCATGGGTTATGACATGACCACAAGCTTTTGATGCTTCCTCTCATCATGATTCATCATGCTGGGCTGTTTTTCAATGCTCTCTGACTGGAGCTGTTCTGTTCAAAGTGCAAAACTCGGGCAAAAAGAATGGATTAGTGGCTTCCTAGGAAAGCCATAGACGTTAGAAAACAGCTCCACTGTCCAACAACAATAGAGCTGACTGGGAAACAAAGCAACCAAGTGCTGCTTGCATGAACTTCACAGCGCTCAAACCAAGGGGGTGACAGAGCCAGCAACCGGATCAAACCACAGCTGGAGCTCACATCCGGCTGACACACCGGCAGGTATCATGCAGGCCAACTGCCGTCCATCTGGCACTGTCACTGACAGGGTTTGTCCACTGAAAACTCCTGCAGGGACCACGATTTGTAAGACTTCTCCTTCCCGCTCTGGAGTTGCTGGAGCCACTGGTGCCACCGGCACCGCTGGTGGGAGAGTGTGAATGCCATTGACCTCCAAGAAGGATCGAAGCTCCAGGCACCAAAGGCCTCGACTGTGGGGATCATTCAGAATCCGTGTGAGCCATCGTTCGAGGCCATGGCGTCGATCTTCCAGTTTGGCCCCCTCGCAGCTCAACAAGTGCTTGGGAGGGAAGTCCTGGTTGATCCACGCGTGGCGCGCCATCCGGTGAAGCCGCTCCTTCAAGGAATCGAAATCGTTGTAGCGCTTCTGTACTCGGTATGAAGGCCCCACCTCCGGCACCACATCCACGCTAAAGAAGGTCACTCCTTGCTGCTTGGAGATTCCCATGGCAGGAATGCCCACAGCACTGACACCCAACGGTGGAACTTGAAGAATTTCCGTCACATGTCCTTTACCGTTGCCTTTCCATCCACCCTTGCCTTCATAGACCACCACGGGCGTGGCTCCCGCTTGCGGGGTGACAATCACCTCCCGCACGGGCTCGGGGCGTCGTGAAGCGACTGCATTGGCCACGGCACCGGCAGCGATGGCGGCCACGCTGCCCACGACGGCCACCTCGGCCACTTCTGCCACTGCTCGTCCAATGCCGTGGTGATGATGAGGATGATGGTGATGGTGATGGCCCCAGTGATGGTAACCCCTTCCGTGTCCCCAGCCCATGGCGAAGACTAATTGCTAGCTGTTGGAAGTCCAAGTCTTTAAGTGGCGGCTTGCTTGAGCCCAAGATTTCATCCAAGCACGCGCGAAACCGTTCAGTGCGTCTTCTGCCGGCCTCGTCCTTCACTGTCCCCCTATCACCGTCCGTCGCACACATGAACTGAGCTATGGACCTCTAAGACCTGCTGCCCACTCCTTGGGAAGGTGCTCTTTTCGCAGGGGCACGGCCCAGGGTCCGAGGGCCTGAGGAGTCCTATGGAGTCCTTTTTGGCTCTGAAAAAACCACTGAGGCTGAACTGTGAAGAGCACCCGCCTTGCCAACTGTCTTCTCTCACAACACTTTGGCCACATCTCAATGTAGGGATGGGGACCTCTCAACTCTCGTACCTTCTCTCTCTCCCTCTCTCTCTCGCTAGTGTTTGTTCCATTGATTGGTGGAGACCTCCCGTGCGCCGCACCGCGCCCCTAAGCGTCCCACGCGCAGAACCGCGCTTTGTGGCCTTGAGTGCAGATCTCACGGGCCTGAAACAAAGCTTACTGGCACTGGGACCTGGGAGGTGGAGCCCCTGGGTTCCCCAAACGAAAACGTGGAGGAGCTGAGTTGAAAGCCAGGTTGGCTTGGGGCTAGTTGGACAAGAGAAGGATGGAGAAGGCCACGCAAGGCTCGCCTTGGTTGCCCATTCTTCTGCAGAGTGCCAGCCTCGCCATGGAGCTGACCAATGACGGAAAAGAGTTTAAGTTATAAACCAAATTGTTGAAAATTTTAGAGAACTAGAGACATCCATCATGCCCCTGTGTTCCCCATTGAGACCATACCGTCATACCGGCCATCATAACGGCCTGTGCTTTTTCATCTAGTCACAACGATACGATTGCCGGCAAGCACTGAGGCTTGAATCTTATCTTGCATCTTCCCTTCGCCCTGGCTCGTGCTCACCAGTGCCTGAAAGGATTTGTAGAGATGCAGGTCGGCCTGTAAAAAATGCTTGCTGTTACGCGCCAGTCTGCAGAGTCTGCACTCTCTTTTGTGGACATTCGAACACCGGGCGCCCTGCAGCTGTTCTTCGTCAAGCGTGCCAAAACCTTCTGCACCTTCTGCACTAGATTCTCCTGTAGTTGTGGCTCAGCATCACGGTCTTTCTCTCGGTGGGAGTTGTGTGTATATAAACAAAAAACTCTCCCAAGGGTTTTGGTGCCTCTGAGTAGCTACTCTCCTTGTGGGTAAATCCGTCGGTGAGTCTAAATACCTCAACCACGTTAACCACACAGCAGTTTGCCCTGCAAACTTATTCCTGACAACCCTGGAAATGGAATGACACGGGGGAAGCGTGAATCGTAACGTGAAGAGCGAAAGTATATATATATACAGTGTGATTGTATATGTGTGTGTGACAAAGTATATTATGCAGAACAAAGCTCCAGGCGGAGCTTGGAGTCCACAGATGCTTGCCTAAGTACCAGTCTGCACATGCCAGTCTCCACTTGGACCTCCAGTTGGGATCTTTGGCCTCTAAAAATCCATTGGTCAACCCTCCCTCCAGCCGCATAGGAGCGAGATAGACAAACAGAAGTCCGGGAGACCGCCGATCTCCTCGAGGTCTCGGAGGGCAAGATCGCCCTGGCGAAGAACGGGTGGGAAGTCGTTTTTGGGAGGTTTTTGACGGGGAGGAGCATTCCATGATATTCGAATGGTGCCATTCCATGAGTGAATGCACCCCATTCAATGTTCATTTCACGGTGCCTGGCTGCCAATGGCTGCCATAAACACACAATTCATGTCATTCCGCAGCACTGTCCAAGCCACGAACGTCCCATTCCGCTGCTGGAATGGAATGGTACAGCATGGCACAACGTCCAAGCAGCTGTGAAAGAGCGGAAGGCAAGTTGCACTGCAAGGTACAAAATAGTACCCAATGGCCTCCAACCTACTAGCGATGGCCTACTACCGCGTCATTGTTTCATACTTTTTCTGAGCCCAAATCTTCCCTCGCATCCTCTATCATCCCCTCACCTTCGTCGACTTCTTTGTGGCCTTGCCATCTTCAGCTCCTGGACATGTGCAGTTCAAGCACGAGCGAAAGTGGTTTCACAAACAAAGAATCTATCGCAGGCCAGGTTGAGAAACGGCACCATTTCTGTCTGACGGTGAGGTGATGATCCAAATGTAACGTATATGCAATCTATATACACGCTATATTATATATAATATACAGTACATTGATCAAAGCATCGTCGAACAAATGGTCCATCATCTAAGATTCTTGTACTGCCTTCTTCATATTATCTTCATAAGGATTTGGGCTCTGTCATCTTTGTCCCAATTGTTTTTATTAAAGGTCACTCACTGGGCATCACGGGCTCGCCTTCTTCCTTTTCTTGTGCGGAAAGCATGCTCCGGCCATGGATGCATCTCCAATGTCTAATGAGTGTCACACATGTTGCCTCAGCAACAAGACCAGCACGGAAGTGACTTCAGAATTCTTCACTGTCATCCGAGAGTCTTCCTGCCGGCAACCTAAGAAGTCCTACAACCCGTCCGCTGTCCAGCGCAAGTGCCGGAGGAGAACTACTCTCAAAGTGTCGCATATGCAACTGGCGAATGAGGAAAGGCACCTGGAATGGTACCTCGCGACCAACCTTCGGCCCACGCAAAAACCATGTATAGAACATCCAGCAAACGCCTCTCTGGGTTGCACTTCTACGTCCCAAAGCACCAACCACACCCAAATGTCAAAACAAACCGAGCGGGTGTTCGGCTTGCCAACGGCCATGAAGAGAAGGATCTCTTGTCCGTGACTCTTGCCCAAACCCGCCTGGCGATTCACCTTCGCCTCGCAAACCACGAATGGACCACGTGACTGAATCTGATGTGAACATTGGACAAGTGTCAAGCGCATATGGAACTACAGCTGTCTGGTGGTTTTCCGGAGGACATGACATGCCAGCAAAGGCGGTGGCCGGTGGCCGGTCACAGCTGTCTTCGTGCCAATGCCCAACTCACCAAGCAACACCAAAAACTGCCCCCCTTGGCTGTCGCATGCCCTTCAGTCTGGAATCGTTCAGTCTAGATGTCTAGGCAATTTGCTTGTGGATGAGCACAAGCAAGCACATTGCGTTGCACTTGCTTTGGACACCAATTCAGTACACCAGTCGTGGACCATGCCAATCCATCAAGACCAGGACTCCTAGCGCCGATCCAAATGTTCAGCCCTGCCTTGTGTCTCAAGTCGACCATGGCCTTAGACACCCTAATGCATCCAAGTCCTCTGAATTTGGGCTTGGTGATCAATCATATATTAAGCATAAATATGTATAGCTTTGTTTATCAAATTCCCTTCCACACCAATTGGGGTGAAGCAATTCAGGACCAGATCCTGCAAGAAAGCCACCCATACTTCAAAAGTGCATTGAGCGCATTCATTGAGCGACTAAGCCATCTGAATGTTCCCCGAGGCCCAGTCGCTCAGAAGCTTCTCTACCACCTCCAAACTCACTGGACGCCTCACAAGCGAATGAACGACTTCATCCGTGGGGAGCTCGTGTGAGGCAAGAAACGGTCCGCACATCTATTGCAAGGATTGTTAGGTTCAACCTACAGTAGTCCTGGCCACTAGGTGGGGCGGGTGCCTCCCCCATGAAGATGGGGAGGTTGATGGAAAGGAGAAGATCTCAGCAGAGTCCTAGAGAGGCCATAGGCCACGTGTGAATGCTGCAAAATGGTCACGACCTATCAGTAGGCCTCAGGGCCACTTGTTGATGAGGGTTCAGGTACCTAACGGCCGTCTCAGATTCCCAGATTTCGGGGGACCCTTCCTTCCTTTCAGCCCACCGCGTCCAGGACTGAGGCATCCCGTCTTGTGCCCTGAGCGTGTCAAGAAGGACTCCATCAGCTCGGCCTGAAGCAGCGGGGCGACGGCGGCGACGGCGAAGGGTGCAGTGCGTGATGGAGCAAAACGGGAAACCATCGTGTCTGAAAAGATCAGAAACTAACGTGTTTGGCTAAAAATGGTTTCGATGGCGCGGCATGTCACAGACATGATGGACATGCATGCTAATGCATCTTTCCTGGCCCCCATTGGATTTGGATAGATGTGTGTGACGGGTGAATGCAGAATTGGCGCTCACTGACAAATGTTCGATTCATCACCAGGTGTCACCTGGCATGAATTCTTGGGTGGCCAAGAACAAGTTGCGACTCAATGAACGTGCAACCGGTGCAACCCTTAAACTCTGTGAAACTGCCATGCATGCAACGCTCCACATTGGAATGCAACTCGCGAACGCCACCGCGTCTCCAAGTGGACGCCGGGGAAAGAGGTCGCCGCGTCTCCCATGTCATCGCCATGCGCCTCTCGCAAGCGTCGGACGAAGTCGTCTTGCATCTCCCGCTGCTTCTGTTGCCTGCAATCGAAGCTGAGCATGACCAAAGTCTCTGCTCAGGATGAGGGCCCAACACCAAAATCACATTAAGTTGACTCAGTTTTCTTGGAGGCTGTTTTCAGCTTTTTGCTGATGTCATCATGCCTTTAAACGATGTACAGCCAGGCGCAGCAAGAACAACAACAACAACAACAAACACAAACAACATGCCCTCGTCGAATTTGACGCTTCAGTCTGCACATTTGGCCTTTTGGTTAGGGTCTTCTTCTTCTCGTTGCTGGCACCCTCCAGTCCTTACACGTCTAAAGACATGTGAGGGAGGTTAGGGGTCGTAGCGACCTCTGAGTTTCATGTTGAGGGGAAGAACCAGGTCTAAAGTTTAAAGTTTAAAGGATCATGGTCCATGGCGCAATGATGTGCAATGGCAACATGTGAGCTCTGATGGCGTCTGCACATCACATAACCCAGGCAACTTCCGATTCCTTGCAGCACATGGCGGTCAGCAACCACAAACGAACTTTGCCTCTAACACCGACTGGTTGCCAGTTCCGTGCTGATTCAAGCGGGGGGTAATTGAATCGAAGCTGGGCAAAACCCAAATCGCACCAACAAACGACCGACTGATCATATCTGAAACACTCCGGCGAACACATCAGTCACATGGAGTTGGATGGCATGGCCTCTAAGACTTCTAAGAAGGCTGTCCTTCCTTTACCAAATCCAGTGTCTTGCCACCTATTTTTTGTGAGCCGGCTGAAATCCATGCCCGCGTGTCATCAGCACATGGCGCATGGCCATTTGCCGGTGAGCTGGGCTACCCACTGGAGCCTGCGAAGGAGTTCATCAACTCGCCACCACCGTCATCGAGGAGCTGTGAGAGGACCTGAGTTGCGAAGTCTCGGGCGCCTGGTTGAGATGCGATGCTGGCATCTCCCAGCTGTCATAGTATGACGTGTGCGTCCAGTTTCTATACTTGGCTTTGCACACCAGAGTGGTCTAGAGTTGTCACATCCTCCTCCTCTTCGTCCTGGAGTCGATCAAAGGAAGCAAGAAAGGCTTGCACGACATGGCTTTGAGGCCACCAGCATGCACGCAAGCAAGTAAGCAGGAGCTTAATCAAAAGGCTGGCAAGGAGGCAATTATCAAATACTGCGCTATAGCATTAGCAACTGCTGTCACCGTAGCATATCGTAGCTCCTCATCCTCTTCAGGCTTGGCCTTGGCATTCTTCTCCTGGCTTACTGAGAAGCCACAGGCCACAAAGAGTGATCCAGTTTCTATTCTCTGAGAGCGGGAGATGTTGCATCCCATCTCATGATGAACAAAAGCAAAAAGGATCAACAAGGGATATTACTGCAAGTGGTGCACTCTGCAACGTGACATGCAATCTCAGCCTTCCAGGAGTCCATGAATCTTCACTTCGAAATCCAATGTGAGCATTCTCTCATCTTGAAGTTGTTTGTCTAAAAGACACTTCTGATGCATCACCTAACACCAAAACAAACATCTACAGAAAACATATGAAAACATCCATCCCACCTTCATCGCGGCAATGGCTTGATCAAAGACGGCCTTTCGAGATCCTCAGGCTCTCGAAGTCAGACTTCGAGTGCGGGGCCCATGGTGCAGAGGGATGGAGCTGCACCACCGAACGAACACCAAGCAACCTGCCGGTTCGGTCTGATCCGGGCAGGTCCAGACCGCTGGTGGTGTTCTTCGTTTCGCGCGGGGCGCGAAACGAATTGATATGCAATGAGTTGTCCCAGAGTGCACATGAAACATCTCGGCACACCTGCAAACCCCCAACCCAATTGGTGCATCTCCGGCTAGCTCGCCGCTCAAATTATCGCTGCTGTGCTTCCGACATGGGACCATGTCAGACCCTGAAGGCTCCACAGATGTGAACACATCCCGAAAGACCGGATGTGAAGGGATGTGTTCACATCGGGATGTGTTCAACTTCTGCGGACTTCATCTGAACATATCTGAACTTCATCTGTGAGCTCCATCTGCAGTCTTCTCCGACAGCTCACCCTTTCTCATCCTCTTTCCCCCCCGAAGGGGGTCTCGAATGGCGGCGTCGGCTTCGGCATTGTCGTCCCACTCGCTGCAGTCTGAAAGTCTGAGGGGCTTAGGGGTGCCCAAATCGGTTGGTGCCCGCACACTTGGCGGGAGCATCTGGTGACCTGGTGACCTGGTAGACCTGTGCCCCTGGTCTTAGCTGGAAGGTGACACCAGTTGAGAACCTCAGCCTGGCAGTACGGTAGTAAGGCAGTATGCCTTGATCCGACAAGGTGATCCCCGTAGACCAACCATCCCTCGACTCGGATCTGAGGATTGCACCATCTGGATCCGCATCTCCTTCATCCTCTTCATCATCATCCATCTGGAGAAATTTGATGGGGTCCGGTGGCAGCACGATCGGCTTTCTCAAATGGGGGTGGGGTAACAATTTGATTTTAACATTGTCATCCTCAAAAATCTCTAGAGATCCAAAGTTTCAATCACAGGCTTGTACCCTCGGACCACCAAGCCCGCACTAGACAGGAGCTAGCTACAAATGCGGCCCAGCAACTGGAGAGCCACGCGTTTCTGGAAAACACATGTCAAATAAACCCCTCTTGGAAAACAGAATAAGTCTATAGGTTGTTATGTTCACTAGTGACGTTGGGCGGACTGGGGAAGCATGCTCAATGTTGCATTCTTGATTTGATGTCAACCATGTTTATGGTCTTTTGCTTTTCGCTTCGTCTTTGACAACGTGCTTTCTTTATATAATTGCCAACCTCCCCAGCGCAACAAATGCAGCCCTGCAAGGCCTCAGGCTCGTCCACCGGCTCATCCGTCTCCTCTATAGGAGCTCCACACACCTCCATCGGCCAGCAGAATCAATTCACTTCCCATCAGAATTGTGGTCAACTTGTCACTTGGTGACTTCTCACTCCTCCTTCAACTTAGTCTTCGGGGTTGTTCGGGATCTCTCACGATCCAGAGGCATGGCTGCGTACTGGCGAATACCACCAGAGCAACGAAACAAAAATACATTGGATTAGAAACAAAGACTCGTGGCCAATGGGCGCGAGATAACTTCAACCACGCAGAAACATAAGCACAAAAGGATCGCAAAAGGACTGCGGCAGAAAGTATGACCCAGTCAGACCTTGCCCAACAAACACAGAAAGCGCTAAAATCAGTGATGCGCGGTGATGCTTCACCATGCACACAGCATTCATTGATTCCTTTGATTCAACACTCAGCCTGTGGGATAGCTAAATGATGCAAAATACATACCAAAGACAAGGGGCCGAAGAGCAAAGACTCTGGACGGTCTCATCCTTAGCAAGTCTCTCAATGCAGCAAGCCTCTACTTCATGTCACTAACTAGTCCTAGACCATTGACTCACCGGCCTTGATCCAAAATGACGCTCACTTCCACAGTACCTGCTTCCTAAGACTGTTAGGACTTGGAAACGTATTACCAGAATCTAGTCTTTTCACTGCCCATGGGTAGTGCAACAAAATCCAGAGAATCCTTCATTCTCTCACTTTTGGCCAGTGTTCTAATCATTCCAAGCCGCCGCTGCATATAAGGCGAGCTCTCGCCATGCGATCTTGCAGGCCTGCTCTGGTGGGTTGGTCCAGGCTTGTTTTTCTCGGCAACCCATGGTGGACTAGTCTGCTTCGGAGGACTACACTGAGTTGCCCAGGGTGTGTGGGGGTGTGGTTCTGTGTGTGTATGCGTGTGTGGTGGTTGTGTTTGTTTCCGGGGTCGGGGGATGGAAAAGCACTCAGACTTAACAGATATTAAAAGGACATGATTCTTGTCGCAAAGCTTGGCTGCTTAACACTCATTTTATGAGGCAAGTGTAACAATAGAAAACTAAACCTATGTCAAGCGACGACCTCTGCAGCTCATAGCTAGGTGGAAAAACAGTCCACACATCAACAAGGGAATGGACTGACATCCCGTGTGCTCCTCTCGAATGATGCCCATGGAGTCTCCCACATAGAGCTCAGCGGCGATCTCAGATCGGGTGCGTTGTGCCCAAGTGGGTGACTCCAACTCCAAACCAGGGAGTCGAACCTGGTCGCTGGCACATTTGCTATAGGAATCAAGTCTTAATTACAAGGCGCCGTTGCTTCCCTAGGTCCTAGGTTGCGAGAGCGTTGAGATGTCACAATCATCCAATTTATCCTGTTGAGATGTTGATGAGTCCACGTCGTGCAGGAGTTCTTGCTGCATTCCCGCTGAGATCCTCTGAGCATTCCCACTGGCGGAATGCCTGCCATCGTTTCCTGCAAGTGCCTCCTGAGCGCTGGGGTTTGTTGGGAAAAAGTCAGACCAGGTGTGTCGGAGATTCCTCGGATGCCACAAAGCACACGGTGTCAGAGCTGAGCTGGTCATTCGAACAAACTTGGAAAGGTGCACATTCAGGCTCCATCACACCTAGAGCGATGTCATGGATACCTATCTTCGACTACAAACTCTCACGCCCACAAAATGCTCTAGGCATGTTATTATGGGATATCCATGGATATCCAATGCGTGCCACGATCGAAGAAACAGATGATCCCATGATTCTTGTCAGGTCATTCTCCGCATTGCTCCAGAAAGCCTTTCCAGTTTGAGGCCCCAGCTTCGGTTTGGGCTCTTTCGCCTGGGCTGCAAAAGGGGCAGGATTGATTGGTTCCTGTTTCATGCGCCCCAGGCGATGATCAGCTAGTTGGGGATCACCCAAGCCATCTGACAGTGGCAACTAGCAAGAACTGAACCTGGACCTAATCTAATCCTACAGTACGTGGTGCGTATGGCCTGCAGGTGTGCAAAGGAACAATAAACCCCTTGGTGCCCATAATGTGTCCGGATCTGATCCCTTGACGCAACTGAGGCGAGCACCTTGGAGGTCAGGCTCTTCACGATGCTCAACAACTGCGGCGAACCGCCGCGCCCCAAGCAGGAAGCGTCACATATCTCCGGTTCGTCGCCCCCCAAACCTGAAAATAAAAACACACAGATTAAAGCAAGTCTGGTGAAGGTCTGCTTAGGTGTTCAATCCATTCACTCGACGTGCTATTCTTCTTCAACCGATCTGCGTCAAAATGTCCCAACTGCCCCGGATGCCATGTTGAAAAGCCTTTTTCTCCCTGACATCCCGGAACTGGCCTCTGACATGACTTCTTTGGCCTCAGGAACGGATTCACACAGCCGATCGCAGTTGTTGTCCTCCCAACCTGATGTAAATGCCATGAAACCGAGGCTCAGTCCAACATGATCCAAAATGGGTTAAGTAAAGACACCAACAGGTGAACCGTATATGCTGTTATTTGTATATATATATATATTGCTACTTATTATAGTCACATTTATTCAATTATTAATCCATGGAAAGCTCCACACTGAGTCGAAACCAAATGGGTGTCAAGAGGCATTCGGCGGTGCTGAGTCAGTCAGGAAGGCCAACGAGACAGACCTTGGAAGAACCGGTTTCCACTCCCTAGTCTCAGCTTAGTTTCTCGGCAAGCAGGGGAAATTTGTTGTTTCAACTTATTTTTTCTGGAAGTGCAATCTATTTCAGGAGTGCAGGCATGAGTACAATAGTACAGTACATGATGCTACAATTGACAATACTGATTCAATACCGTGCTGCTGGACATGTGCGAGAGTCCCACAAAACCATTCAAAACCTACATATGCATTATCACTGAGGTCTCAAAACTCCATCAACAAGTCTGTCCAGGATATCAATAGAGCAACCCACCGGACAGCGTAAGGCACACGTCTTTCTGCTGTATCCTTCCGGCGCGGTTTCTCAGATCCTTAATGAATTTCAGTCCAGGAACATGGGAACCAGGTTTGCAACTTTGCACAAAGGCCAGCGGCAGACTCCGTTGATCCAACTTTGCCTTTCAGGCGACCAACGCTCTGCCACTGAAGCTTTTCACCGAATGGCCGAAGGGGGGATCGGTGTCTCAGTCATAGGGCGAAATGCCGTGCACGTGGATGTCCATGATGGCACACATCGCACGAGCAAAGTAGATGAAAATAGAGACCAAGTAAATGAAGAAGCCCATCATGACCCATCTCCGCCTGACCCGAGGAGAAATGAGACGACTCGACCGCTAGACCGCGGTCAGACGAGGACCAACACAGACCGCTGGGCAACAAGCTGAACTTCTTGCGAGTGCCCCACTCACTGAAATGCTACAAGCAAACAAATCTCCTGATTCTAGCTCTTATATATACAGTAGGGTTCTGGGCAGGGTCCTCTTCACAGCCGGCAGGAGCAAAAGAGGTCCCAAGAGGATAAAACGGTTCTTTTTCTGAGACCTTGCAATACGACAGGGCAGTTCTCCTAGACCCAGCAAAGCATACGAGCCGGGGACAAGCATGGCCCAGCCATGTTCAGGACAGCACATGGTAGCTAAAATAAATACATAATCCTCATCCCCGAAAGTGTATACATGTAGAGCGGGAGATTCAAACGAAGAATTGAGCATACAAGTGTCTGCACGAGCTAGAAACCCTCCCTTCATCTTGTTTGTAGAGTCTACCTGCATGCTCCTAATCGCACACATCAAGTTGCTGACGCTTTGTTGACTGGGTCAAGGCCAAGGAACTGCTTCTGATATGCCTCTGGCTTGAACACATCCTTCTCCTCAATCACATATCCTCCAGTCAGGGTTCTTGCATAGAAGGCGGCAGCCCACAGCAACCTCACTGAACGAAGCTGCTGACAACTTGGAACTGGATGGTGCTTTCTGCTTGTTGCCATCCTAAAGAGCTCACTCAAAGTTGTCCTTACCACATTTGCCACCAAATACTGATGAAGTTGGCCACTGACTTAACTGACAAGGCCCTTTCTTGCAATACTCCTTCATTCAGCACCCCGTTTCCAACCAATGGGACTCTTGTCGGAGATATAATATACTATACAACTTCCTAAAGCACACGCTGATCCTCTCATCTGCCCAGCAACTGGATTGGGGCCAGCCACCAGTTGGCCAAGAACGGGAGCACCGAGAGCACGTTCAAGGCCAGGAAAGCCATTTCTACCCTGCGAAGATCAGGGCAGTTGGTTGCCAGGGTGCTCAAAACATGTGGAAGCTCTAGGAGCAAGGACGCTACTAGGAGCTCCTGGCCATACTACTAGGAGCAAGAAGCTACTAGGGGCTCCTGCCAAGGTGAAATTTCAAAACCATTCAGAAACCATGGCTATTGACCTGCAAGAAGTGGCGAAGCCTTGCAAGGGCGTTGCACGTCTAGGTTCCAACCCGCCAGCATGTTTAAACACTTCGTTCCAGTCTTAGCAGGTCCCCGCTTTATATAAGCTCGGGTTCAAAGTGGTGGCCTGTTCACAGGCAGAATCCATTTTAAACACGGCAGTTCTTAATTTCCACTGAAGAACCACACAGTAACTCACTAGTCACTAGAGCTTGAATGGTGAACTTGTCTTGTTTACTTATATAGATTCATTCATTTCATTTCTATTACAGCAAAAGAATCGGAGTTAGAACTGGACAACTCCCCAGAAAAGAAACAGAACAAATTCCGTATGCCAGTGATCTAATGACGTGCAGAAGTGGTTTGGAGCATCGTTTTGTGTTTTTTTGTAGTCTTTGTATGTCTTTGTCACCGACTGCTTGAAAATATCAAAATGACCCGATCAAACACTGACCAACTGGAACTCAATCATGACACCCATCTCCCACATCTGACACCCGCCCCGCCACTCTAGCACACCGTACTGGGGGTCCGTCCCAAACGAGCTTCGTGTTCTTTCTCCGCCATGGTCTGAACGATCACCGAGAACGCCGACGCCTCGCCCTCGCCTGTGTGATTGATTGTAGCGGCTGAAGAAATCCACCGAATTGATCAAGTCCTGGGCGCGACACCCGGCGAGACCCGGCGACGGGGTGACCCGGCGACGAGGTGACGCAGCTTCCGACCGATGACTGAGTGGCTGATTTATGTGTTCATGCCTGTAGGGGGTCTAGACCCTGACCCCTACAGAGGATGACCCATGGCTTTAAAACATGGGATGTTGTCCTATCAAAAGTCTGGTCACTCTGTCGAAAGTACATGCAGCGTTGCTGTGTGACTGTCTACTATGCATTAGCGAGTGGGTACAGAAGAAACTATCTGAGACCGCGAGAGGATGCTACCTATCATTCACAGGCTGCTCAGCAGCATGAACCTCCACCGCATACGTATTAGAAACTGAAACGAGGTCCCAAAATGGAAATCACTAGCGCAAAATTAAATTGCAACCGCGGAGATTGTGTTTACATGTGTTTACTTGGTACAATCATGTGTTTCCCATGATCAACCAATTTGTGTTTTATAGCTGTGCGCGCACACACAAGCTTTTGGTTCGTCATTGATCTTGATGATCTGATGCCTATTCCAGCCTGTCTTAGGCTTGGTGTGTCACTGCTTTCTTTTCAACTGCTCCAGCAGCATGCCACAGGGCTTGCCAACCTTCTTCCTGAACTCCTGCATGTACAGCTTCTTCTGCTGCTCCAATAGGTCAATCTTCTTGTTAGCTGCATTAATCTGCAGCTTCAAATCCTGAATGAGCTCATCTCGTTGTTGACATTCACCCTGCAGCTTCTGCCAAACATCATTCTGCACCTCATGCCTCTCCTGGACCTCCTTGATGGCATCCTTTTGCCGTTGGTAGCTCTCGAGAATGTCGCGTCGAGCGTCCACGGTCCTCTGGTACAAGGTCTCTTTCTTCTGCAGCTCTTTCTCCTTCAAGGTGTTGCAGAAACACACAGGCCCAGGAAATTGCTTGAAAAATGTTGAAAGTCTCCGTTGTTTATCATGTGTATCGTTATTTTTTGCAGGCCCAGTCTAACTCTTTCCACAAATGCCCAAGGCCCAAGACTTCCTTTGGTAGTATAAAACCTTCAAGCTGAGAATAACACCAAGAACATCCAAGAACATCCAAGAGCCATGAACAACCTCGAAAGCAAACCTGTTTCTCCTTGTACATGGTCTTGGTGTTCTTTTCTCGGAGCTCGTTCTGGACCTTCGAAAGCTCCGAAAAGACCGCGTCCCGTGCGTTCACGGCGCTCTCGTACTCCACCACCTGTTGTCGGAACATGGCCGAGAGCATGGCGGCATCAGCGGTGAGGCTGTCAACCTCAGGGTGCTGGGCTCAAAGGCTTGCGGACTCCGCAGTTCTCAGAGAGGGTATTGAAATTATTGAAATCATTTCAATGACAAACGCAGGGTCCTACTAGGGCATGAGAGGGATCCTGGAAGATTCGCCTTTTTGTTCACGGGATGAGGTTCCATTCCCAATCAAGCCCCGCAAGCTGGTATGATGTGAAATTCTGAGGGGAAAAGGGGTTCGGATTTTCACACAAAATGTGCCGACAGCAGCCTCCTTGCGCGTCTCCCGGAGAAGTACTTTGATCTTCTCAAGCCGAGGCAGGTTTTCATTGGTCACCTTCTGATTTCTCTCCTTGAGATCCTGCAATTCTTTCTGCACGTTGTTCTGCTCAGCCTTCAGGTTGTTAAGCTCGCTCTCCAGCTTGTGCTTCTGGTGCAGCAGCTGCCCCTGCGTCAGCTCCTTCTCGCCAATCTTGGCATTCAGCTGCTCCAAGCGTTGGTCCCAAGGAGTGTGCCGTTGCGCCTTGCTGGTCTGCAGCTCATGATCCAGCTTCGAGAACCGGTCGAAGAGCACGGTGATCTCTTTTCGGATGTCTTCGCTCTGGACATGTTCGTTGGGCTGCCACTTGATGCTGGCGCCGAATTTCATCCGCCTCAGCTGCTTCTCCATGGAATGGAGTTCGGTGAACAAGGTTCTGAAGCTGCCGGGGATGCAACTGGGCTCGGAGACGACATCATTGCCCATTCCATGTTGGCTCTTCTCATAGGTGTATGGACCACAATCTATCACCTTTGGAAGGCTTGGCAGGACATAGAGCTCTGGAAGTTTGTCCATCTTCATTTTCATCCCCCTCACCTGCTCCTGCATCCGTGCTAATCCTTCCGGCGGCGGCTCGCGCCGAAGTTCGAAGTGCAAGACCGCCTGCGAGTACAGAATCGCATCAGTCAGCGCCATGAGCAGTGAATCACGGCAGTTCAGCATCGACACAATGGCTGCCACAGATGGCAAGCTCTCCTTCATGGCCGCGGCGGCGAACTCGTGCAGTTGCCTCTCAGCGTCCAGGGCCACCGTTTCCCAATCCCCCTCAGGGGGTCCGGAGAACTCTTCCAGCGCATGGACGAAGAAACGGATGTCCAACCTCAGGCGGTTGATGATTGCACGGTACTTCTCCAGCAGCTCGTCGGCGCGATTCTCCTGCGCGGACGAGCTCAGTCCAGCATCGGCCATGCGTAACATGGCGGCGCATGTGGCCCCCAGAAGGCTCTGACCAGAGACTTAGTTTCAAGCCTCGGGTTTTGGAAGTCCTGAATGGAAAGGATATGGGCGAGCATGGGCGAGCACAATTTGCTGTTGAGACACCGAACGACACAAGCCTTCAACAACTCTGACCACAAGTCACAAGTCAAATTGCTTTTCCACTCCCTCGCAAATGGCACTGATGTAGCCAAAGCATCTCCTACCAGCAAACGACATGATTGACCTCATCAACCCCCCATCCGCCCCAGGAATTTCCTCCCCATCCCTTAGATCACCAACCACACCAACTCCCCCGTCTCGCCGAAGGCACATACTCCAAGTCAGCGATGGCCTTCAAAGAGAAGACCGACGTGCCCAACAGGCCGGTCATGGCGCCCAGCAAGGTCAACGAATCGATCGTGGCGAAGATCGTGAAGAAGACCATCGCGTTTTGACAAGTTGCGTCTTTTGCGGATCGAGAGCCCTTCTCCTGCGGATCGCTTGGAGCAATGGGAAGTGGTGGGAAGGTGAAACCGGGCAGCGCGCCTTCTCTTTGGCCGCTGGGTTGCTGGGTTGCTGAGTGTGGGACCTCCAAGCTACAGGTGGGAGTCAGGAGTAAAAGAATATAAAAGACATTAATGACTATACTGTACTGATCTGTACTGTATATTGGATAGTATTATACAGACTCTTTCTCCCTTTTGTGGGGGGAGAAGGTGCTCTTCGTTGCGATGACATTGCAAGCAGGAAAGATATGCACGGGACATCAACGGGCCATGTGCCGTCTGGCTTCGATGTCCCAATAGTGATGCACTTGTTCCTACTAGCTTATTGTTTCTAATAGCAAACATTGTTACTACTAGTAAGGCACTTGCTACTAGAAGCGATGCACTTGTTACTAGTAGCTTCCTGCTTGGTCTTTCAGAGGGGTGGAACCACACACCCAATTGGCTTGTTAGGGATCATACCCGATTCAACCTATTGCCATCAACCGAGATCGGATTCTAACAGTCTAACTCGGCCAGTGACACTTGGATCACACTGATCACACCGTCTTCCGTCCGCTCCTCTCCTGGTCAGTCGAGTTTCCTCAATCCCCTGGGCCTGGACACTTCCAGTTTGAGCACTCAACAGGGCTGGGCCGGTCGCGCGATCTGAAGCCGGACGGTCCGAAGGGATCTGCTACGGATCGGAGGAGGCTCGGCCCGTGACACCCGTGACACCCGCGATCAAACAAAACAAAGGGACGATGAAGGATGAAAGAAATGCGTTGTTTCCAGGGCTGTTCCATTCCAAAGCCTTCGGAGGCCTTCGGATTCCGGTCAGGATCGAATCGGGGATCTGTGGGGATCAACCGCTGGAGCCCCCCTAAAGTTCCCAGCAGAATCGATGCCCCCTATCGATTCTGGCCGCTCCATGTCCAAAGGCATCCATTTGGCCTTGGCGCCCCCCACAAGGGCAAACTGCAAACGGCGTTCTTCTGCCTCGATTGGCCGGTTTTGGGACCAAAAAGTCAGGTTGATGCGTCCCATTCATGGCAAGTGAACGCTGTGATCTGGCACGATCTGATGATTGACTGAACCATTTGCTGCTACTGCTATTAAAGCTTCTGCCGTTTGATAGTACATAAAGCAACTCCTCATGAGCTTCATGATCTAAGCGCGCCAACAAGAGTGCCATATAGTGGGTTTGGGAGGGCAAGGATGGGCAAAAACATGCAAAAAACAACAACTCTCTCCCCTCCACAACCATCTCCGCCTCGCCGACACTGCTTTCTTGCCAGGCTCCATCTCCATGACCGAATTGCCTGGGAAGAAAAGAGAAACACAGTGATTGAATCAGCTGATATACCATAGGAACCCGGGCATCGCTACTAGGAGCAAGGACGCTACTAGGGGCTCCTGGCCGTACTACTAGGAGCTAGTAGCATTCTTTCTGTTGGCATCATTACACCAATACCTGGCGATACACCATGAACCTGATGGGCCAATGGGGGAGCCCTTTGAGTAATTACACTCGGGCGACACCCAGTGGCAAAGGTAGAAGCACGTCAAAAAAAAACAAATCAAATGTGTGCTTGCCAAGGTATGCAAGCACCTCTCAATCTCTCTCCGTCCCTAGCTCTGGTTCATCTGGGCTTTGAAAAGGGCCCCCGTGCACAACTCCAGCGAAAGTTTCCGCAGCGACTCATCCTCCTCCTCGCCGCAAAAACAGGTCTTTTGGGTTCTGGCACGTTCTAAAGGTGTGAGGATCTGAAAGTCTTGGGACGAGTGAAGATGAGGATGGTTGGGAGCAAGTTTTCTCTATCTAAGTCTCTCTCTCATATGAGTCAAACTGGGTGCTGAAAAGGTCGTGGCCACGCCCAAAAGGCACAGTCCAAACAAGTACACTGGTAGATTAATTTGATCTGAATGGGTTCTTGGAAGCTCCAACAGGCCAACTCCCGTCCCATGGGCCAGAACCACTTGTAACAAGCCTATCTCAGACTGGGTCAGAGCGAAACATAGCGAAACATTCGGAACCTCAGAGCATTCTAGAGAGGTGATGATCCAAAAGGGCTCTGTCTGTATATATTACATATAGAGGCAGGGAGCGCCACGCTCAAGGATCACAGATCCGTAAGCAGAGCGTTCTGAACGACGGCAGGTTCTGCAGCGAACTAGCGGACTCCGAGGCCAAACTGCACAGACTGGATATGAAAGGGCTGATATGACAAAGGCCACGCGCGTGTTAAATCCTCATGTTCAAAGACTCTCCCGCAACTGACTATGGGGCGAACACAAACAAACCTCCCTTGCCCTTGGCTTTCTCTGTCCCCATCCGCTGCGCATCGCCCCGAACGCCAACGCCATCCCCATCGAACGTCCTCCAAGCCCACCAAACATTGGCAAACTGCGGCGGTCGCCGCGTCGGTCGTTTTCAACGACGTCGGTCGACGTCGGCGTCGCCACCCCTCATGAGACGAAGAGCTTCACACCTGAGGTCTTACATCCTTAACATGTTATAACTCCACAAGAGAAAGCTTGAGTGAAGCCCTCGCTGTTGCAGAAGATCTGCCACCACGACTGCAAGCACGGAATAGAATGCGGATAGATTCCTACAGTCCTACAAAATCTAGTCTCGGCTCCTGAATCAAGCAGCGCCTTCCTGGGCTCCATGTCTGAGGCTCAAATGCAAACCAAATGCCTTCAACTTGCCATCCAACTTGCTACTGAACCTCCCGGATCTCTACACCATCCACCAGCCGTCTCGCCAGCACCGTGCCACAATGGCCCCTCCCACCTGACTTCTTCTTGCCTTTGGCCTCAGCGAAGAGGCCGGCACCCAGCGAAATCGAGGAGTGTCTCCAAAGCACGCACTTCTTGAGATGCCGGGCCGAGGAAGGGCTTGTTGACATCACGTGCTCCCACCTTGGTGGTGCCGAACATGGAGTTTGCAAATCCTCCCCAGAGTACACTGGAAACGTGCGAGGACTGATCGAGGGTCATCAAAATAAATGCTGACTATTGTCTGTCTTTTGCAATGCCTTTGAGATTGTGCATGTATATAGCTAAGTACTAAGTGTGTACCGAAACCATATAATCAAAGGCACAAAATATATAAACTGTAAACGATTCACGTCAATGCGCACACAAAAAAAAACGTCAGCTTTATTCAGGTGCATGCTGGGTGTCATGAAGGTGTTTAAAAATGGAAGGCTGACTAAATGATACCAAATGTGTGTTGGGTGTCTCATGCAGGTGCACAAAAAAATGGAAGGACGACTAAATACAAACATTATAGTTGTTATATAAATGGTTGACTAAATGAAAACCATCATGGTCATGGTTTACTAAATGAAAATTAAACGTACCGTAAAACCAAAACATGAATTTCAGTACCAGCAGTGTGGTTTGTTTGGCATGACTAAAGTTGCCATCCCTACGTTCTCTTTTGGCCAGTTCCCGTACAATCCAAGAGCACAAGACTTGTTGCCTTATTTTCACGGTGGCGCTTCAGCCTGATCCAGGAGACCGATTGAGGAGAGCATCTGCTATTTTTGGGGTGCGGAAGTTCATCACGACTTAGTCGCGGTGAGGCCAAAGCTACTTTCTCTACAAACAGCGGCAGAAAGCACTCGTTTTGATGCGAAAATCGCAGCAGCATGGACAGTGCCGCCCCGAAGTTCCGAGGGCCGCCGCTGCCCGGCGCCGGCGTCGGCCCTTTCCGAACTCAGCGATCCAGCAGACGGGCCAAGGCATCGAAGGTCTGCGCTTTACACCTCGAGACATGAGAGAAAATCGTCTGTGCAAAGAACATGCAACATTGTATAATTTATAGCGCTAAATGTTTAAGGATCCTCAATCCTGCACCGACAGCAGGTGCAGTTGCTACGAAGGATGCATCTATGTAGGGGCCTTTTGCTGGTACAGGATTCTGGTGTAGGAGCCGTTTGTAGGAAGATTCTCTTGCAAGGGTCCATGCCACCAACTCTCATGTGCACAGTCTCAAGATCATGAGGAAAAAAAAGAGACACCACGCGGTGTCTCGAAAGGCTGCAAAAGCGTGGGGATCCCTTTCAGCCGAAGTTCTGAGGATTCAACATGTGCGGCATACAATGTGATCCAGCCCCTTCCACCGCCGAGACTTCGGCACCAGCTTCCCTCAACTTCTTGGCCAGCGCGACTCCCTCATCTCGCAGAGCATCGAAACTCGCAGTGCAGACGAAGACTTTGGCACCACGCAGGATCGAAAGGTCTTGTTCCAGGAGGTTCGCCGCTTTCACCAAATCCTCTCCTGTGAAGCAAAGGCGGAGAAATGCCAAGAATGGGTGTTCGATGGGTTGCAGAATGGAAGCACTGGGAAGTGCTGCGCTCATGACCTTCGGGGTGCTGCCACTGCCATGGTTCACTCGAAAAAACCTGGAGGTGTGGGTCACATGTTGGTTGAATTTGAGATCCAAGAATCTCAGCTTTCCGTCTCCATCGCTCAATAGCCAGCCCCAGGACCTGAAAGGGTGGACTTGAGGCCAGGGTGGACCAGATCACAGCCACAAAGAAAACATCATGTCTTGAACTAGCGGGATTCATCCCGCACCGGAGTCTGCATGCCCTCACATGCCCGGAATTGGCGAAACTTGGGCATTATCATTTAACACAAATCACAAAAGGCTTAAAGAAAGCTCCTGTCCATGAGGCCGACCCATGAGATGGGCTGCAGTGGTCAGTCCATTGAAGAAATGAGGGAATGTCTGATATCTGCTTGTTGCTACCCTCCAGCAAGTGAAAAACTATCACATGAGTCAAATTGCGGCAACAATAATGTGGGCCAAATCAAATCAAAACCAAGGCACACTCTCAAGAAGCTGCTGGGGCAACTAGGCAAGGACCCATACAGTTCATGTGACTCCTTAGTTTGAAGTCACGGAGACAACCAGAACACCTGTTCCCAAGTGGTGGCTTGCTGGAACTTTCCGCTTCTCACCCCTGCAGCAAGTCAAAAAGACACTGTTTCAGGAAGAAATTGCTCCTGAAGCGGTTCCTCTTAGCATATCATACAATAAAGACACCTGGAAGCACCAAACTACGACCCGAAGGCCCAAAGGCCATTTCCAGAATCTATGCGACAATGCCAGTCTGCAGCAACCTTCACTGCCACGCATCGCTGTTGGCGTTGGGATCGACCATGGGATACAGCAACGCCACTGCTGGCAAAGCCGCTGGTCGCGTTGGTGCCAGGCGCAGTAACAAGTGGGCAGCTACAAAGGCGCCAGCGCTCACACCGCCCAGGATGATGTTTGAGGTACCTGATAACACAATGGCACGAGATGCGGCGGGTAGTTTTCCTAAAAGCCAACATTGCCATTCACAATTCACAACATGTGCTTTAAAAAGTGTGATATATATAATTGTTGTATATGCTTGTTTTGCTGTGAGTTGCACCCATGTTTCTGAGAGGATTTCGATAGTTGATACCTCTTTAGAATATTTTAGAATGGCGGTCGAAGATGATTGTGCGCTCTCAGGTCAGGGCAATGGTGTGTTCGTGCCAATTGCTAGCACAGTGGTGGTTGTACCTGTCTCAAACGGTTTGTTGTTGGTTGAAAGGTGGATGGAGGGCTCAAGAAGGTTGGTCATGAAAAAGCAGTTGCAGGCATTTTGGCTGCGACAAGGAAACCGCCCCGAATCTCCGAAGGTTTTTGCATCCAAATACGAATCTTGCTTGTGTAAGGCTTGGCTGGCTGTAATTAATTAAGAACTTTATGTTGAGGAACGCACTTGCCTGGGTGTCAATTCTCTGACAAAAAACAATGGACCTGTGCCTCTGAAGCAAACAGCTGAGTGACTGTAGCCTAGCTCTTTGGCCAACGTCTCGTCTGATAACGACCGGAAGGCCGTCTCGAAGTCATCCACCGCATCGGGGAATTTGTGCTCCTTGGGCTGCAGGTCCGTGTGGTTTGTGCCAACATGTAGGTGGGTGGGTGGGTGGGTGGGTGAGTGGGTGGGTGGGTGGGTGTGGGTGTGTGTGCCCTGCTAGTGACGTGCAGGCGTTATTCCATCTCTTGATGACTTGAAGCGATGGGTCCGCATATTCCACTCCATTGGTACAAGTCCCCGGCCACTTTCGAAGCAGGGGACCCTCGGGGCCAACGGAAAACCGTTCGCGCCGCCTGCGTAGCGACCGCGGCAGCGCGACCGGAGCCATCCCTCCAACGCGACGTACGAGTTGATACGTCGGCCGTGCACAGATCGCTGCGGGAGAGGATGCCCTGCCGCCCTGGCCGTGCACATGTTCTTACCCAAGTTTTCATTGACGGTGTTGGTAACATGACAGCTGCACACGCGCGTTGCAACCTGTATGCCCTGTAGGCCCTGTAGGCCATGGACTTAGGAGGTTGGCAACTACTTTTTTCTAATCTTAGATCAGGTCCTCTTGACACATTAACTCTCCAGCCATTTGGCTCAAGAAGCACAATCTCGCACGTTGTACCGTTGTGCCCTTGGCTGGCTTTACATTCAAAGGGGTCTTGGCCAGTTAGATCAGTTGGTGTCCATTCTTCTCCGCCCGCGAAGACCCTGGACTCAGTGGCGAACTCTAGGCAACCGTTCGTGCAACTTCGACATAACATGGCACCCGCCCTTTCGTCACACCATGTCATACATGCATCCACATTCCATATACAAATGCCATACCCCTCCGAGAAACTCCGTATTGAGACCATGACCCATCTTGTGTGGCGCATAGCCCACGAAGCCGAACATCTTATTTCAAAGTTTGCGCATTCTCATGCCAGCTACTAGGAACAAGTGCATCGCTACTAGTAACAAGTGCCTTACTAGTAGTAACAATGTTTGCTATTTAACTAGACGACGAGTGGCCCGAAAGCATTTTTCATCACGTAGGAAGTCAGAGTGCGAGTTATCTGTTAAGTGTGCAGTGTGAAGTGTTAAGTCGAGTGAGTTGAGGTAGTGTGTGGGTTTCTGTGCGTGTATCTATGTCCGTGTGTATATGAGTCTGCGTATGTGTGTGTTCGTGTAAGTTGAGGCAGTGTGTGGGTGTCTGTGTGTGATGCGGCCTCCCAAACCCCCCACCGGCGGCCAAGCGGTGACAGCCCAGCTCATCGTCGTGAGCATTTGAGCTGCTGGTAAGGGGAGAAGCAGCGTGCACGGCTGTAGGGAATCTCACTGAAAAAACCCAGCTGGAATGAACACAGAAAATGCTGAGGCAGCCACGCCAGAAGTGTCTCGAAGCAGTGACCTGTCAGAGGAGATGAACGAAGGAGCGCGCAGGCCTCCCAGCTTCCAGCTCCCCAGCTACTCCGCGTACTACAGTTGTACTACAAAGTCGCCAGTGCTCATCTTCCAGCTCCCCAGACACTCCGCGTACTCAAGTTGTACTACCCACTCGCCAGTTCTCATCTTCCCACTCCCCAGCTACTCCGCGTACTACAGTTGTACTACAAAGTCGCCAGTGCTCATCTTCCAGCTCCACAGATACTCCGCGTACTCAAGTTGTACTACCCACTCACCAGTTCTCATCTTCCCGCTCCCCAGCTACTCTGCGTACTAAAGTTGTACTACCAAGTCACCAGTTCTCATCTTCCAGCTCCCCAGCAACTCCGCGTACTACAGTTTTACTACAAAGTCGCCAGTTCTCAGCTTCCAGCTCCACAGATTGCTCCGCATAATTACTAAAGTTATACTAGAAACTCGCCAGTTCTCAGCTTCCAGCTCCACAGCTAGTCCGCGTACTAAGGTTGTACTACACAGTCGCCAGTTCTCAGCTTCCAGCTCCACAGATTGCTCCGCGTACTACAGTTGCACTACAAAGTCGCCAGTTCTCAGCTTCCAGCTCCCCAGCTACTCCGCGTACTACAGTTGTACTATGTACTACAAAGTCGCCAGTGCTCATCTTCCAGCTCCCCAGACAC